CTCAAGTTGCATTAGTTCAATACTGCAAAACTTCAACCATGTCAAGATGTAGCATATAATCAAGAACTGATGGTACTGAAGGAAGAAGTCCAAGCTGCACTAAAGATGTTAGCGAAAAACAAGGAATTGATAGAATAAATTTTGAAGTCTTTCAAAAAAACTGATGCAGCACTGGAGGCATTCACTTATCTTTGCCAAGAATTTAGAAGACGGCTACCTGGTGAACCGATTGGACAAGATCCATATTTATGCCTATTCCAAAGAAAGGTGTCCCAGCAAGATATAAAAATCATGTAACAATATCGTTAATATCACATACAAGTAAAATGTTGCTGAAGACAATTTGAAAATAGTTCAGAAACAGTTGCAGCAGTACACAGAAGGGAAACTGCCATAAATTCAAGCCAGATTCAGAAGAAGACATGGAACTAGGAATGTTACTGCTGACACCAGATGAATCTTGCATTACAACAGAGACTATCACAAAGATATTTACTTGTACTTTACTGACTATGCAAAGGCATTTGATTGTGTGGATCATAGCAAGCTATTGATAGCATTGCGAAGAATGGCTATTTCAAACCCCTTAAATGTGCTCATGTGGAATTTAGACCAAGATGCAGTCATTCCAACAGAGCAAGGGGATACTGAGTGACATAAAATCAGGAGAGGCATGCTACAGTGTTGTATTCTTTTACCATACTTATTCAGTCTGTAAGGAGCTCTGGTAGCATAATGGTTACATAAAGGCTGCTAACCCCAAGGTCAGTAGTTTGAAACTACTAGCCATTCTGCAGAAGAAAGATAAGGCTTCTGTAAAGATTGATAGCTTTGGAAATTCTATGCAGGGTCACTGAGTCAGAACTGACTCCATGACACATAACTAGCACCATTCAGTCTGTGTGCTGAGCAAATAATCCAAGAAGCTGGATTATATGAAGAAGAGCATGGCATCAGGATTGAAGGAAGATTCATTAACAACCTGTGATAGGCAAATGATAAAACCTTGCTTGCTGAAAGTGAAGAGAACTTGAAATACTTATGGATGAAGATAAAAAACTAAAGCCTTCAGTATGAATTGCACCTCAGCTAAAGAAAACAAAAAAACCTTCACAACTGGCCCAATAAATAATATGATAAATGAGGAAAAGATTGAAATTGTCAACAATTTTTTTGCTTGAATCCACAGTCAACACTCACAACACTCAAATCAAGTGACATATTGCATTAGGCAAATCTGCTGCAAAAGACCTCTTTAAAATATCAAAGATATCAATTTGAGAACTAAGATGCACCTGGCCCAAGTCAAGTATGAATGTGAAAGTTGAACAATGAATAAGGAGGACTGTAGAAGAGTCAATGTATTTGAATTATAATGTTGGAGAAAAATATTGAATATACCATGGACTGCCAGAAGAACCAAAAAAATCTGTCTTGGAAGAAGTACAGCCAGTCTGCTCCTCAGAAGCAAGAAGGGTGAGACTTTACCTCATGTTCTTTGGACTTGCCAGGAGACACCAGTTCCTGGAAAAGACCCCAACAAAATAGATTGATGCAGTAGCAGCAATAATGGATTCAATCATAAAAACAATTTGGAGGATGGTACAGGACCAGACAGTGTTTTGTTCTGTTGTGCATAGGGTTGCTATGAATTGTCAATTACTATATATCACCTAACAACATAATGATGCATAGGAATATCTTTTGAATAGAAAAAAATGAACTCACCAGCTGCTCTTCGGAAGCCCTATCTAGGGTCGCTGTGGGTTGGAACTGACTCGATAACACTTAACAACAACAACAAATACAGCTAAGTGTATCTTTCTTGAATTTATATACAATATCTTTATTGAGTATGAAAATAGTTTAATGAGTCTACATTTTAGAGATAAAAAAATTGGATGGGTCCCATACTATAACTGTTTCATTTTTGTGTATGTATGTAGTAGAACATAAAACAAAATAAAAAATAAGAGGGCGTTTAGTTTCAGAGTATGTTGGGGGGAAATGGAATCTCCACTGAGTGTTTTTCATCCTGTCTAGATGGGGCTGGTGAAAGGAGATGGGGATAAGACTCTTATGATTTAATACTAAACCATAATACTCTTATGATTTTATACCTCTAGAGGGTCACTATAGGTCGGAACCAACTTGATGGCACTTAACCACAACAACAGCAATTGTTACCATGACTGATTAGGATTGTCGCAACTGTAAAGGTGTAGGTTTTGTAGCAAAAAGTGGGGTGTGGTTTATCTTGCAGTCCGGGAGTGGAGGACCCTGGGACCATCAAGGGAGCAGAGTGTGGGACACTATTCAGAGAAGTTGGTGACATGCCAGAGATGGAGGCAGAGATGATGATGTGGAGAGGTGGAGGGCTAGGGACTCTAGACTTACGGGTGAAGAGGGGCTGTGTGCTGGAGGCTGGGGGGCAGGCCTGCAGGGTATGCCCTTTGTTTGTTTGAATGATCATATATTCCTGAGTGTTTTGGTGTACATCCCTTTCCTCTGCCCTGCCCCCCCCCCCAAAAAAAAAAAAAATAAATAAAAGCCACCTAGAGGGAATAGAAGCAAAGACTGTTGAATGGTGATGCATGGAGGGGATTGTAATCATTGCAATGAAACAAAATATGATATGGTGAGTGTAAAACTGATGTTCTCCCATGTAAACTACCACTCAATTCACAATAAAATCTTAAAAAAGAAATAAAGGGTATGTGTCAAAAACAATTTTGAAAGTCTTTAGTTAAAAAGAGAAACTGATATTCGTTTTTTAATTTAAAAGCTCACATTTGAAAGAATTGACTTCTAGTACATTCTAAAGCACTTATTCTATGTTGAACAAAATATCTTTTGAGTCTTTTCACTGAATGTTAATCTTTCTTAATATTGGAATTTACTTTGTGTTAGGAGTCATCTCACTGGAATCCCTAAGAGGTTACAAAATCAATGGGAGTTAATAGCAAAAATATATCTCTGAGAAACATTTTATATTTCACATGATAAGATATTATTTTGGAAATAACTTCATATGCTTTAAATTAGATTTAAAAACATTAAAAAAATTTATTTATTGCTCTTGCAGACTCAATGACTTTATAAGTTACTTAGGAAAGAACTTTCAGTTGTTTAAAACCAAACACATTTCCACCAAATGCATGTGTCCCAGCAATTTAAGCAGAGATCTGAAGTGGAAGTGACTTGCACAATAGTAAACACAAAGTACAACAGTGAGCTTGGCTTGGGCTGTCTGGTTCAGTGGTCTGGCGGAATGTCACACAAGCTCAGTCACTGAAAGGAATCGTGTTCTGGTGGTAGCCACTGGCTGTCACTTGTAGCACGGTAGAACCATGTTAGTGGGCACCACTTTTTACCATGTTCTCCCTCTGCCTGCATGCTGGATGCAACAAGGACCACTCACCAATAAGCCCAGGACAGTCCAGAAGGGAGGGTCTTACTGCTTTGTTCTCTGACTACAGCTAGACTTGGCTCCACAGCAGTACCTGTGGCTCTAGCCTGGGCTTGAGTGCAGGAATCCAGCTCTGGCGGTGGCAACTAAAGGGCAATGAGACCGCCTACTGAAGGATGTTGGGGAAATGCATGGGGAGTTGCAGAGGTCACTTGTGAAGGTACCAGGAGTGATCAGGCAGCTGCCCTTGCCAACTAACTACCAACCCTGCCTGATGTATGAGGGAAGCCATCACTCATGGGAGAAAAGTAAATGTTGTGGAGGAATTATTCTCACTCCCATTTCTTTTCAGGGCTTTAAGGGACAAGGCTCCTGACTCCTTATTTTCTCAAGCACTCCCTCTACTTCCCACTCTCATTTTTTGTGCTTCTTCTTCTTTGCTGCCTTGCTGTCTTTTGATGTGTGTCTTGCCCTCTTGCCTGTATCACCCTCAGAGTCTGAGCTGTCAGAGTCAGATGACTTCCTCTCTCTGTGCTTCTTTTCCTTCTTTCTTTTTCTAGAAGACGTCTTTGTGGGGTCACGTTTCTCAAATTCTGCTGACTTTACCTCTTCTTTCTCCTCTTCCTCTTTAGATATTAGAGAGTGTTTGGTCCCACCTGGCTGCATGAAACAATCCTTTGCAAAGTGGCCTTTACAGCCACACTTCTTGCAGGTAGTGTATAGGACAGCCTCAAGGATGATCTTCTGCCCGTTGTTATCCTGAAAGGAGCATCTCTGCCTCTCTTCTTGTTCAGTGATAACGTTGTTGGGATCCAGGTCTTTTCCAGGTCCTTGCTTGACAATTTGCATGGAGAGGGATACTTTTATTCTTTCATTTTTCACCTCTCGGCCAATAAGCTTCACCCACACTTTGTCTCCGACATCTACTATCTTAGAGGGCTTATCTACTCGATAGGATGACATGTGAGTCCAATGGACAAGACCTGGTTTCCAAAAGCCTGGGATTTTGATAAAGGCTCCATAGTCTGTCACCATAGTAACCTAACCTTGGAAAACGGTATAGAGAGCAGGCAAGTTTTCCATGGTCTCAGGTCTTCCTGAATTCATACTTAATTATCTATGGCTCCTCCATTTCTCTTTTGCTAAACAACTTCAAGTATCCAGGTCTTAGCACCAGATTGCCCAGCCATGACACTAAGAGAAATGTGGATTCTTAAATTAGATATTTTTGATTATCCTTTATATAGATAAGATTTATGTCTAATTTATCTGAAGGTGAAGGTGTCCACAGAATCTTTGGGGATAAAGGCCCTCTCCATTCATATTGACAGGTTGTGCAGGATTTCTGCCAATGCAAATATGAACAAAGTACCCCCGAATATATTCCTATGCACATAAAGAACTGTAATTCAATACCAAAAAGTCATATGTTGTTGTTGTTGTTAAGTAGTGTGGAGTCGGTTCCGACTCATAGTGACTCTGCACAAGGTTTCCGAGGCTTTAAATCTTTACAGGAGCAGAACACCTCATCTTTCTCCCGCGGAACTGCTGGTAGTTTCGAACTGCTGACCTTGAGGTTCGCAGCTCGATTCATAACCACTACGCTACCAGAGCTCCTAAAAAGTCATATAAGGAAATGAATATGAATAATAGCATTATCTAGTACAATAATAGAACATATAAAAAAGTATTTGGTGTGGCAAAGCTTGGTTATTCTTTGGGTAACATTTTCATCAATATGAAGTTAGTTGGAAAATAAAAAATACCTAATTCATTTATTATTTTTCAATGATCAGAAATGTATCATGCATTGAGAATGGTTCAAATGCCTGTGCACTAAAAGCACATTCATGTCTAAGGTAGATGGAGAATTTCAAGTTTTGTTATTATAAATTTGAGGCAAGTCTCATACCTCCTCCGCTGTCCTGCATTTTCCTCAAGTTTCTGCTAGATTTAGAAGTAATTCTGCAGCGTACTGGATGAAAGAGCATAAAACCACAGGGTTCAAAGAATGCTACCAGAAGCCCTGAGAAATCTTGACCTGTTTTTCCCATGTAGAAAAAGGGCCATACACAGTGCTTTGAGATATTTGGTTAAAATTATCCTACCCTCTTCCTGGTTTGAGATCAGAATCCCTGAGTATCTTTGTAGTCTTGGCTTGGGGCTAAATTATAGGAGAGAAGGAATAGAAGAGGGGGCCAGAAAGTTGATTTACGGGGAATGTTAGAAAATTGCCTTTGGCTCTTGTAGCTAATGGATCTCAAGGGAAAAGATGAACAGACACAGTTTTCATGAGAGGCAGCAGTTTTTGTTATTTAGTGTTGATGGAGCATGGGAACATTCTCATTTACATATTGAATACCAAATACTAAAGCAGTGGAAAAGAAGTAGATTTGTGTAGTCAGAAGAGACATATGTGATTCTAGCATTAGTTTGATCTTTAACAAGCTTTGGAAAAGTTCAAGCTCTCTGAGCCTCTATTTGTGTAAATGAGAGCTGGTCCATATAGCTGGTCCTAATATCCTATGGGCATTTTGGAAATTTGTGGGGACATTTTTAATTGTCAAAATCATAGAAGGAACTCCACTCACATCTATCTATGGGGAGAATTCAGAAATGCCTAAAGTCCTGAAATGGCTACAAAATGTCCTGCACAATAAAAAAAATTGGCATTCAGTATGACTTTTTAATTTCTCACTGAGCATTCATACAGGCCACAAGACCTGTTAGTAATTTTCTGAGCCTAGAACCTACCTCTTCTTACATATACTGCATATATTTTCTATATCATTTTAAAGGACACAGGTACAAAATTTAACAGTTGTTATATTTTACAGGGATTGCCTTGAGTATCTCGGGATGATTTTGATTTGCTTTTTTGGGGATTTTCAGAGTTATTCACTGCCATCCAGGAAATGTTGCTACAAAAGCATGCTCCTTATGGAATCTGATTTGTTAAGACTGTCTTGTGTCAGTCTGCATCTGTAGCAGTGGCGGTCACAGAGATTTATGCATAACTTAAGTGTCTGAATACTTTGTTGTGTTTCTTAGTATAGTTGTGCTCAACCATCTATGTGTTGAAGAACCAGTTACTTTATTTTAAATTAATTTTCTTGTCATTCTCTTATTACAGTATAGAATTGAAATTGTATGCAGGTCAGTTATATTACCTTTGAATTTCAGACTAATAAAAGGGCCATTACAAAATATTTGATATAAAAAGAGGCATTGGGTATGATGAAGGAGCTCTGGTAGTATAGTGGTTGTGATTTGGACTGCTAATCTCAGGGTCAGCAGTTCAAAACTACCAGTGGTTCTGTGGGAGAAAGATGAGGCTTTCTGCTCCCCTAAAGAATTACAGCTTTGGAAACTATATACAGCGTCACTATGAGTCAGAACTGACTCCATGGCACAGGGTATGATGATATTGAGAACAACTGAATCTTCAAAATTACTTCCATTCTTATTTTTCTAAGCCCCTAAATAATCTGACTGCAGTGATACTTTCTAAACAATAAATGTTTAAGCTTGTTTTATTTTATTTTAGTGAGAAAAGATAATTTTATGGAAAAGCCAAAAGAATGATGAGGAAATGATGTGGAATAGAGGATAGTAGAAAAGGTAATAGTAGAAAAAAACTTGTTTTTGCATTTTCTGCTCCATGGCTCCATGGGAGAAAGATGAGACTTTCTGCTCCCATGTAGATTTATAGCCTTGGAAACCCTATACAGGGTCAACTTGATGGCATTTAACAGCAGCAACAAGACTTTAAGATAAAGTAAATACACGGTTATCACATCAAATATATAACTGAAAACACAGGTAGTTATAGTCCCAAATATTTTCACATTTCTTGAGTATTTATCATCTCAGTCACACACATATTCATAACAAACCTACAGTCTTCTAGATACATTATTTCTAATCAGTTAAATGGCCCCTACAAATCTTAATGTGATGCTCTGAAACTGAAACGTTAACATAGAAACATTTTAATATAAATTATTTTTTGGAATTACCAAGGAAATACTATATTATGAATACTTTGGAATAGAGAAGTTGACAGTCATTCATATTTTAAATTTCTGTAAAACATAGTTTTCTGGAATCTTATTGTTGGTAACTTTTGAGTTGGCTCCAACTCACAGAGATCTTTTATATAACAGAACTAAACATTGCCTAAGGAGCTCTGGTACTGTAGTGGTTACGAATCAGGCTGCTAACCTCAAGGTTGGCAGTTTGAAACTACCAGCTGTTCCACGGGAGTAAGATGAGGCTTTTTGTTCCTGTAAAGATTTACAGCCTTGGAAACCCTGTGTAGGGTCACTATGAGTTGGAGCAGACTCCACGGTACTTAACAACAACAACAACAACAAAAACATTGTCTGGTCCTGCACCAGTGCTGATAGGTGTGAGTCTATTGTTGCGACTATTATGTCAGCCCATCACATTGAGGGATTTCCTTGTTTTCAATGCCCTCTGCTTTAGCAAACTAACCACAAGGTGAGCAGTTCAAATCCACCAATTGCATCTCAGGCAAAAGAGGAGTCTTTCTGCTCCAATAAAGATTTACATCCTGGGAAACCCTACATAGGGTAACTAGAAGTTGAAATTGACATGATGGCAATGGGTGGGGATGTTGATCTTGATCACTTGGTCAAAGTGATGTCTCCCAGGTTCCTCTACTGTAAAATTACTGATATTTTTTTCTTTTAATTAATAACTATTTTGGGTAAGACACATTGAGGTTATGTAAATATTATGCTTCTCTTCAATCTTTTACCAACTAATTTTAGCATTTTTCTGTGGATCTTGCATGCAGTAGTTTTCCTGTGGTGTAATGATGTTTTTCTATTTCTTTCCTTCCTTCATTTGTTAGATGCAATTGTTCTAAAGGAAGAGTTGTCTCTTTTCCTTCATTACTTATTTATTTAATCAGTTATTTTATATTGCTATGGGTTTATTTTTCTCATCTCCTGCCCTGGAGAGTGCAGTGGCTCTGTAGGACAAACACTGGATTTGGAACCATAGGTTGGTTCGAGCCACTTTCTAGAAGAAAGACGAGTATCTGTTCTCACACAGATTTAAAAAGCGTCAGAAACCCTCTGCAGGGTGGCTCTGAGTTTGAACTGACTTGATGGTAACTAACAACAACAATGGATCTATTTTTCTCCTCCTCTGCCTTGGGATCAAATACTTCTTTAGGGTTCTAAAGGAATCTTTTTCACATACATACATATAATAATGTTGTTCAAGTCTCACATAATTTTATTAATAGTCTTTTATCTTGAAATTGAAAGGAGTTCAGGTAGTATAGTGGTCAAGCACTCAGTTGCAGACTGAAAGGTCAATGATTTGAACCTAACAGTTGCTCCATAGGAGAAAGATGTGACAGTATGTTTCCATAAAGATTACAGCCTTGGAGTTTCTATGGGACATTTCTACTGTGCCCTATAGGGTCACTGTGAGTTGGAAATTGATTCTACAGCCACAAGTTTATCTTGAAATTGTTGATTTTATTTTCTGCAATGAAAAATATGTTTGATTTTCTTTACCCTGCTAGGAAATTTATGGCTTGCTAAATGACTACCTACCTCGTTAGATATCTAGTTGTTTAAACTTGTCTTCGACTCTTCCTCTGTGATGGCTAAGTGTATTACCTTGGCTCACCCATGATTCTCAGTGATTCTTACATTTGACTGGCTGATCACAATCTGGCAGTTACATAATGATTTAATCATCTTCCTGGATGTGACCAGCCAGTCAAATGTAAGAAACGTTTTCTTGAGGGTGTGGCCTATATCCAATATATGTTCTTGTTACTAGATGCTGTTGAATCAGTTCCAGCACATAATGACCCTATGTAGAGCAGAACAAAATGCTACATGTTCTGTGCCACCTTCACAGTTATTATTATGTTTGAGCCCATTGTTGCTCCCACTATGTCAATACTTCTTGTTGGGCAACATTCTCTTTTTCTCTGACCCCTCCACTTTACCAAGCATGATGTCTTTCTCCAGGG